CCGGCCTCCGGTGCGGAGCTTTCATCGCAGCAGCCGTTCTCTTCCCATCCATCCCCCTGTACAAAGACTCACCCCTGCACACACCGCAACGGAGCCTGAGATTCAAGCACGGAGAACGCAGCAGCAGGAGCAGCACGAAGCAGCGACGCTCACGCCCCGGCGACGGCCAAGAAGACCGTGTTGAGGCACATGTCGGGGAGGCTCCTGGCCGCTGACTCCACGAGAGGAGAGAAAGGCGCTGCGGCGGCGGCGGCGGGGCTGGAGAGCACGCTCGGAGGCTCCCTCTGGGCCCGCCACGCCCCCTAGCCACGTGGCCTTCGCAAGAGGAGCCCGGACCCTCGACGCCCCGGCCCAGCTGAGGCTGATCCCCTCGCCCCGCGAGCTCTTCCCAGCTTCTGGGGGCGCGCGCACGCTCCCACGGCTCCCCGACCGAGAGGAATTCCAGCTCGTGACGTCAGTGGGGGCGAAGGAGCGCGCTTCGAATCTTCGGCCTCCTCCCGCCCGCCGGGCCCGGATAGTCAGAGCCAGCCTCGCCTGCTTAGACCTTTCGGAAAGGAGGGCGGTGACGGAACGTAAGATTCTGCCCCCTGTTTATCAGGAGGAGGTTCAGTGGTTCCCGTAATAATGTCTGAGCAGGAAAGCAGCCCGTAGCGTTTGGGGGGTTTTTTGTTTGGTTTTGTTATTTTGAACGTCGTGTCTGCTTATTGGTAGAAAGAGCCCCGAACCCGCACAATAGCTTTTTTAAAAGTCAGGACCACCCCAAATAGCCCCGAAGTGCCACCCATTCGAGGCCGCAGAACGCTTCAGACACAAATAGGGAGAGGAGGAGGCCACAAAACGGTGTTTTTTCCGGACATGGTACAATAGCCCCTGTGGCTGCAGCTGAAAGAGCATTCAGGTGACTCTCAAGATGGATCCTCAGCATCCCATTGTTAAGACTCCTCACAGGGCCGGCTCATTCACTAGGCGAACTAGGCGATCGCCTAGAGCGGGATGGTCCTTAGGGGCACCAAACTGCACCCACCCATACTCTGGGAGTTTCTTGATTATTTGTGTTTTCTGTTCTTCCTAAAATGCATTTATTTTTGAAAATTGGTGGGCGCAGGGGGGGGCATAAGGGATCCTTGCCTAGGGTGCAAAATAAACTGGAGCTGGCCCTGCTCCTAAAAGCAGGGAGCCGGGGGAGTTCTCTTCCATGCGATGAACTACTGTGTGTGTTCAGCGTCCCAGTCTCCCCTCCTCGTCCTGATCATCAGGCCTGATAACTCCAGAGTAGCCACCGTGTTAGTCCGTTGTAGTAAAATAAAACAAGCTGTACGGTGCCACTGACCTTCTCTTTTATTTGACATCAAGCCTGATAAAGGGGCCCAGGGAACTCGAAAATTAGCACGTTGTGTTCCATAATATCTTGCTTGGTGCATAATCTAATGAATCTGAATAAGGCAACTGTGGTTTCCCCGTTTTCCACTTTACAAGACAACTGTGTATTCCAAGTACTGCTAAAGCAAAATCCGATTAACTGCCGGTCCTTATATTTTGCCAAGTTATTTTGGAGTCATTTCCCCCTCTCTCAGCAACACAGATAGCAACTAAAATCTCTTTGCATATGATGGTGGAAAGTGCCCTCAAGTCGCAGCTGACTCATGGTTGGCCTTCAGGGGGGTTCCAAGGCAAGAAGGCATTCAGAGGTGATTTGCCATTGCCTGCCTCTGTGAAGGGACCCTGACATTCCTTGGTGGTCTCCCATTTAATACTAACCAGGGCTGACCCTGCTAACCTTCCAAGATCTGACCAGATTAATCTAGCCTTGGCCATTTGGGCCAGGGCCTTTTAATGTGCAGCACCAAATAATTCAATTAAGCCTGTCAACACATTCTTGATCTATAACCCATGAAACTGCAGCTCCACTATACCTGGAATCACTATGACCCATCCCTTTTTTTTGTACTGGACATCCAATTTAATGGAAATCTCCAGGAATTTCCCAAGCTTTGGTTAGCAACCCCTAGGGTTGCCTGTTCTGGGTTGGGAAATACCTGGAGATTTTGGGGGTGGAACCTGAGGAAGGCGAGGTTTGGGGAGGGGAGACTTCGATGGGGTATAATGCCATAGAATCCACCTTCCAAAGTAGCAATTTTCTCTAGGTGAACTGATCTCTGTCACCTGGGGATCAGTTGTAATAAAAGACCTGGAGGTTGGCAACCTTACCTAACACAGGATTAAATCCAGTTTAAAAAACGAACAGTTATTTCACTTGTTTTGTTGGGTTCTAAAAGCAGTTGACAACATTCATTTTGATGCATGAAATTTAAGAAAACTGAGGAAGAGCTGATCATGTGGTTCAGAAAAGTTTATTTATGAGAGATTTTTTTCATTATCAAATTTAGAGCTGATAAATAGGGAAAGGTCATCTACTCTCAATATATAATTTAACATGACAAGTGAAGGGTGAGTAAGCAGCTTCACACTTTAAGAAGGAACCATGTTTGCTACAGCTACACAGGTGGTTCCCATAGTGAGCACAGAAGTGTGAAAGAGATGAGTGTTCCTAAACAGTACCTGATGGACACACATTAAACAAAGCTTCCAAACCTGCCCACTCGGCCTGTGTGTCCATTCCATTTCTGCTACAGAAAACAGTGGCAGAGTCAACAAATACAAGTGCTTCGTAACATTTTAACATTAAGCAACTCTAGATGCAGTGATAAAAACTTTTAACAGTTATCCAGTTCGGCTGTTGGCAGTGGAAAGAAAATGGAGGCAAGTGCTGCCATCGCTGCCCATTTTCAAAGATGGCTGGGGGGGCAGGGACTAATGCCCACGTTATCATGCAAATGCACATTGTTATATAGAAGGGTTTGTTAGAGGTAAAGGTAAAGGTTCCCTTGCTCGAAAGCCAGTCGAATCCGACTCTAGGGTTGCGGTGCTCATCTCCATTTCAAAGCCGAAGAGCCAGCGCTGTCCGAAGACGTTTCCGTGGTCATGTGGCCGGCATGACTAAACGCCAAGGCGCACGGAACGCTGTTACCTTCCCACCGAAGTGGTCCCTATTTATCTACTTGCAATTTCTTGCTTTCGAACTGCTAGGTTGGCAGGAGCTGGAACTAGAGACAGGAGCTCACCCTGTCTTGCGGCACCCGGGTCTTGAACCGCTGAACTACTGACCTTCCACAGGCTGCAGTTCAGCGTCTTAACCACTTGAGCCACCACAGCTCCTTTGTTAGGTGTACTGATAGATAATAAGTCCCAATAATGAAATTATGCTATTCTTAATTATAACCGAGCAAGTGGGGACCTGACCTGCAATACCCCACATTGCTGCCACTGCTGGGCCGGCATGGCTCCCACCCACCCCCCATCACCATTGCTGCTACCTGTCTCCCTGGCTGCCAGTTTGGTGGCAGAGGGGGCAGCAAGGACTTGTGCACATTCTCACCTGATTCACTTGATTGCCAGTTCAGTGGGTTGGCTTGGCAGGGGACAAGGACTTCCCCCCACTCAATACCATCCTCGCTAGCTCAGTGAATGGGCTTGCTGGCTCAGTAGAGGGCAGCGGGGGGGGGACAAGACTCACAGGGGGATCCTGCCTCCCACCTTCACTGAGTTCATACAGCTCCAAGCCCCACAACCTACTACTTAACTTGGTTGCAGCGGTGGTGTCTGAGAGCTGGTGTCTGGGAGCTGCTCGAAGCCTGGAACGGCTCCTGGTGTGTCCCTTGGCTGGGCCTGGAGTGGTTCCCGGCATTGGCTGGGGCCAGAGTGGTTCCCAATGGCCACCACAGCTGCAGCCAGGCCCAGAATGGCTCCCAGTCCACCAGGCCGAGAACTGCTTCCAGTGGCTATCGCAGATTCACGGTGTATTATATGTACATGCGTAAATGTTCCCTCTAAGCTGTGGGGTCTTGTGAGCAAAAATTGTATGTTGTGAGTTACTGGTATTAAAGTTGTGAGCGAACAATTTGGCTACTGCATAAATTAGTTTGCTCTGGAGCCATCCTTCCTGAGCTAAGACAAAAATGTGTGAACTGGAGGCTAAAAAACTGAGCCAGCTCACACTAACTCAGCTTAGAGGGAACACTGGAACAGACAATGCTCTGTTATTTTTTTTTTGGGGGGGGGGATTTAATGACACCAATATATTTTTGTTTAGATTTCAGATTTTTCTGCATACCTGGAGGTCCCCCAAGTTTGTAGGAAAATCTGTTTAGCACTGGTGTGGCCCTGATCCGCAGATTTAGATATCCACAGATGGGGGGTATAACATTTACCCTTTTGTTTCCTTATCTTTTTCTTGGCTGAGCAGGCCCTTTTCTTTCTTCTTTGTTTCTCTGTCTGTCCCACCCAGTTGTTTAAATTTTTACACACACACACACACAGAGGGACTGATTAAAATCCTTATTTTTTTTCTTTGTCTGATAACAGCACATGAGGGGCTGATGGTAATTCAAAACTAAAACTGTTTTACTTCACTTTTGAGGGGAAAGGGTCAGGTAGGTGTCAGCTTTAGGACTTAGAAGGTGAACAGGCAACAGGAATGAGGTAATTTTGTATAAGTATAAACAATAGATAGTTTGTCACAAACAAATAGCTATTTAGTTATACAGACAGGTCTTTAAAACTGAAGGGAGAGTTTTCTTGGCAGTCTCTTCTTAAATAAACAAGCATAAACTTCTTTGTTTCAAAGATACTTAATTTGGTAAAGGCAGGACCATTCACACAAATTCCAATATCTCTTAGCCACTTGATAGGGATCACCCCCTTTTACTAAGAGCTATTTACCTCAGACTTGATAGGGATCACCCCCTTTACTAGGAGCTATTTCCCTCAGGGAAGGGCCACTAATCCCACTTCCCTAACTCAAGATCCCTCTTGATCCTCTCCCTCTGCTTAACTTCCTTTCATTGCCAAGTGTCATTCTTAACTGCCACTCTCAACTGTAGAATTCTGTTTGAATCCCATCACTCAAGGTTCTCAGACCAGGTTACAGCATTAACAATTTACTGCCCATCACAAGGGCCACACATTGCTATTAGATATATAGATACTATCAGACAAACCAATTATGACAATAGACTGGAATCCAAAGACAACCCTACCTTGAAACAAAGTGGTTGTTTCATATGGCAGGTTTAGGGTTCAATTAAGAGTGGAATAATGGGAGACTGTTCTGAGCTGTATGGCATAACCCAACAAGAAGCAAGACCCACTGCAGAGTGCAGAAAGACCAGAGTGTCCTTGGATCATGTCGCAAATAGCATTTGGGTTTTACACCTTAGGTACTGAAGTGTCTTCAGCTGGTCCTGCTGTCATAATGTATTTAACTTAATCTCTCACGGAAGAACCCTTTCTGTGCAGTAGCAATGAACAGTTGCTTCAGATGAAGAACACTGCATTCTACTCAGTATACAACGCTTTCTC